CCTCCTCCTCCACCAGCCACCCACTCATCTACCCCGACCCAGTGGCCCGCGGGCCACCTCCACCTCCACCTCACCCTCGCGGCGCGGCGACCCCGCGCACCCGTCTCACCGCCGTCGTGCTCGTTCATGCTCCGTCAGTCTGTCGGCAACCTGCGTACCAGTCGTGTCGCAGCGCTCACGTTAACAAAATTCTTAATTATTATTACACAATCTTTACTTGCCTTGACAACACTTGTTCGGTCGGTGGTGTGTTCTTTCTCGTTACGATTTACGATTATTAACGCGCGCGTTTCTTCCTTTCACGCCGTCCCATCTTTCTACCACCTCTATACTCCCCCGGAAACACCTTTCCGCTCTCGCGATCGTCGTTTACTTCACACATACACGCATACACATACATACACATATACCACCTCGCTCGCCGAAGGAAAATCGCCGCGCAGCACACGTTTCGCGCTGGCATTCGCGCATGAAACTCGCCACGAAGAACTGCGGCCCTACGCGCGCACCACACGGGGCGCACCGACTGGAGTGACGGAGACAGAGAGAGAGAGAGAGAGAGGAAGATAGAAAGAGGGAGTAATCAAGCTGTCGAGGGAACAAGAGAGTGAGAGAGACAGAAGGAGAGAGAAAGAAAGAGAGAAAAGCATACGTCAAAAGCAAAGACCTGTCATCCGCGACTGTCGAAGGTTGCCTACGAGTGCCACCGAGTGGTTATCCTCTCTAGCCAGCTACCCGGTGCACAACCTTCTCGTTGTCGCCGTCGTCGTTGAGCGCACGACCGCGCGAGCGCATTCACGCAGTGAAGCTGCTGCCAGGCGAAACATCATCGGCGCGTTCGCTACACCCGGTGCATGGGTGAATTACAGTTCATCGTTAGATGAAACGTCGTACCGGAAGGGAAACGTCATCGTCGTCGTCGTCGTCGTCGTCGTCGCCGAACGCGTTCACCGGGTGCTGCCCTGCTCCTTCTCCGCGGCCACGCTGGTGTATCGATTGCTCTAAAATAGACGCGTGGGAACAACACCTGCAGGCCAGGCGTACACGTATACACATGCCGCTCGCAGGCGCATAAACGCGCAACAGACCACACACGCTCGTGCTCTCCACGTTCCGCATACACACGTATATACACCTATACACGTACACATTTACAGCTCGCTCGCTCGCTCTGTCTCACTCTCTCTCTCTCTCCCTCCCTCTCCATCTTTCTCTCTCTCTCTCTCTCTCTCTTTCTCTCTATCTTTCTCTCTCTTTCGTCGTTACGCTGCCACGACTCCCTTGCAGCGTCGTGTGACAGGTGCAACGACGGCGACGTCGTCGTAGGGTGGCCGGAGGTGGCGCTGGCGGACGAGCCGGTGGCGAAGAGCCGCAACAGGAAGCGGAAGAAGAAGTGAATCGGCTCAGGCGGGCGAGAGAACGTCAAGAGGAAGAAGAGGAGGAGACGGAAGAAGAATAAGAGGAAGAAACATCGAGGAAGGAACAAGCGGAAGGGACGAAGGAAGAGGAAGAAGAAAGGCAGAAGCCACCTACCAGGAGGGAGAGAGAAGAAAGATCAGGTTAGGGAAGGAGAGGAGGCGTGGAGGAGAAGAAGGAGCAGGAGGAGGAGGAGGAAGAGAAGAAGGCGGAGGAGGAGGAGGAGGAGGAGGAGGCGGCCGAGGCGCCCGTGTTTCTCGCGAAGGAAAGGTTATTTTCGAGTGATACGTCCTGGAGGCGCCCGTCGTCTTCGCCGGTACAACCATAACGCCGCCCGCTTTAAAACGACCGAGACGGGACACGGTGGATTCATCGCCGCCACCCGCTCGTACCGCAGCCCCCGGCAACCCCGGACCGTCCGGCAAACTTGCCTGCATAATGGACGCGCCGCTATCGCAGAGCATGGACTCCGTCAACACGGTGGCCACCGGCGAAGACGAGGTAGGTGTTCGAGAGTTGTACACCAAGGCGATGCGCAGCGTCGTCGCAGCGCCGCCGGCCCTACCGTGCACACGATGGCCGAAGGGGTGGAATCCACCCCCTCTGACGCACTCCCACAGTCCCTGTCTCTCTCTTTCTTTCTCTCTTCCTCGCTCATCCTCCCCTCCCCGCCTCTCAGCCCCGTATGTCGTTGTGTAGCCCTGAACCGATTCGCGTTTTTCCACGAGACCATAAGTACCCCTTCTTCCACCCCCCCCCCCCCCCCC